CGGTGGGCGACACCCCCATCATGAAGACCAAGAAGTGGGCGGTGGAGCGCACCCGCACCATCCAGGGCCTCGTCGACTTCATCAAGAAGTTCCTCAAGCTGATGGCCTCCGAGCAGCTGGTACGGGCCGGCCGGGGCAGCAGCCCCTCCCCGGCCTCCCCTTGCCAGGGCGCTCCTGGGTATCGCCGGGAAAGCTGGGGCAGAAGAGGGTTTTGCACTTGGCAGTAGATAGATTCAACTTGCAGGTGTAACGTCCTTACAGGGAGACTATTTGAGTCTAGGCCGTGGTTCGTAGCAGGAAAATTGGTGTAAGGGCAGCAGGAAAACTATTCAAAGTCCGTCCGTCCCAGGGTACAATGTTGAGAAGAGCAGTAGCTCCCAGAAGCCATGCCATCTGGACATGCTCAGACTGCAGTTCTAGCCGCTGTATTTTTTGCTGTGTCTTTGTTTTTTCTCATCTGATGCTGTCACGCAGGATGCAGCTGTGTATCTGTTGTGCAGCAAGGTATTTCAGTGCCAGGTTCATACTGCAGTACAGCTGTGTAAGTCAGGTATACGGAGAAAGTGTTCAAGGCTCTAAAGTGTATGGGATTGCCATTCTGAATACTGGTGTCTGTTTCCTTCAGAACTTTTTCTTCCCAAGCAGTTTAAAACTACTGCTGTAGGACAGGTTTTTTTTTCTCTTTAAAATGGGTATTTTGGAAATACTTGCTATTTGGCAGGCCCAGTGCCAATATTGTTTGAGTTCACTCCTGCCTAAGAAGCCCTAGTGCTCTTCTGGTAAATTAAAAGCTGGAATAGCTGGAGCAGATATACAAATACAATTGCATTAACGTTGCAGTTAGCAGTAAACTCTTAAAAACATACACGTCAAAGTTTTCATTTAAGATAACGTTAAAGCTAGCTTTGTTAAAATATGCAAATGCGTAGCTAAAGTATCAGATAAAATCACTCTCCTTGGTCTGGCAGCTATTTAAATCTAACCCTGTAAACAGCTTTACTAGCAGTCTCTTTCACTTGGTGATCAGTAGAAGGGTTTTTGTTGTTGTTTTTCTCCTCCCCTCAACCCCCGAGGACCCCCCCCCGTGGCTGACGGATGTCCTCAACAGCTTAATGAACTGCCACCTCATTGAGCAGAAAAGGTAGCAGTGCAGAGTCGTCTTCTGTGGTTTCACCTTAAGGCTAACTTCAGGAACAAAGCCCTAGGAATTTGATGACTTGCTTTGAAAATAGTATATTGATATCCTACTGCACGTGGCCCTCTTGTGCTGTGGATCCTAAGGCTCTCTTTTGATACTGTTGAATAGCTACTGTGTATGTGTATATATTTGGAGCAGGACGTGTGAAGGATGACTTCAAAAAAGAACAAAACAGTTGTAGTTTCTGTGAATGTTGTTCTAATTGAGCAACCTGACAGTAGTGGTAATGAGCTGGATACTCAAAATAAGAGCAAGAACTAAACTACTGCATGAACTTCATGCTGCCATATGGGAGACTAATGGGTGAGCTTGGAGAAGGCAGCAGTGGGCACGCTTGCTTTGGCCAGTCAGACATGACTCCTGAAAGCCACGCTGCCCCTCTGCACAGAAGTGAAAATACTAACCAATGGTAGCTGTGGATTTTAAAGATTATAAAGTAAATGGGGAACAGAGGATAAATTTAGCCATCCCTGGTTGAAGAACGCTTCTTTTACTATATGCCTTGCAGGGAGATCTTCATCTTCTGTTTTCTTTCCTTGCAGTTTATATACGTGAATCAGTCTTTTGCTCCATCCCCAGACCAGGAAGTTGGGACCCTCTATGAGGTGGCTTTCAGTTTGAATATCCTTTCTAAATGTACTTAATAGAATCTGTCGGTATACTTCTGTCACTTTAAACCTGCTGTTGTCCCTAGCTATGTTAGTAGTAGCTTGCATTTAGTGTAATATAGTCAATGTTTGTGGATCTGTATTAATATGATTTTAAATGACATTATTTCATACAGTCTCTGGAAAAAACAGTCCTTCACATGCAGTGTCTTATCATGCCTCCCATTAGGATAAGCTTTCTTTTGACTAGCACTATTCCATGACACGTTTATCTAATTTTGTTTTCGTTTTGCTTCATGTGTGTGCTAGCCCATGAAAAACCTAATATATTTTTTTGTTTGTTTGTTTGCTTCCCCTCTTGCAGTGTTTTGGAAGTGATGGCAAGCTTGTACTGCACTATTGCAAAAGCCAGGCATGGGGATGAATGACAAGTAATACAGCTGTTTAGGTATGATCTTCAGAAATGGAAAAGGGATTAGCCTTCAGAAACTCTGCCTATAAACACAGAGAAAGAAGGATTCTTTTAATGTTTCTGCCTATGACTGTACACTTATAAAAAATGACGAAGATGAATAGTGTTAAAGGAGAACTACCTAGGCTATCCAATCATGTAACTTTCTTCCAGTGCCATCTGGGATACAGAAATCTGCATGTGCCATCTGTAGAATAGAGCCAGCTCTTGCTGGTGAGCTCCCAGTTGCTGTATTTGAAGGGAAACTGTTTAATGTCTTGAGGACTGGACCGCTCTCTGTCATTCGATGTGCTGTACTGAAGACAGAGCTGCTTCTTATTAAAAGAGATATTTATTGCACATATGGACTGGAATTCAGTTCATTTGCAACATGTACATCTGTTACTTTTTTTGTGAAGTCTTCATCTTGAACATGCACTATCTGATGTCATTTCAAGAAAGTATTTCGAATTTTTCCTCATAATTAATATTTGGGTATTTGTATGTAATTTATTTCGCCTTGTGCCTTCCTCACATTGGCAGTGCAAGCACCTCATTTATATTTGTTCAGTTTTTAACTTAAATTAACAATATGATGATATGTCTCAGAAATATTTTCCTCCGTCCTTACACTGTTTAACCATTAGCAAAAGCTGTTGCATCTTTCAGTTAATAAAAATGCCATACATTGGGGTGTTAAAAACCTATTCTATATATGTTCCTTCTGGATGCTGTTGTTTTCCTGCTTTGCCAGCTGCATGTTCCATCAAAGAACTAGAATGCACTTTCTATCTCTTTGATAAGTCTTAAAGTAATGAGGATTTTTTTCCTTCATCCTGGAGAGGACTTGGTGCCCTGATTAGGGCATCAGCCTTTGCTTTTATTTGTTGGAGAGTTTCAGTTTGGGAATTTGAGGGGGGGCATCTTTTAAAGTTGTCTGTTGTGCAATCTTTTATGTTTGTTTACGCTGTACTAAATTAAATGCTAGCTGTTGGCTTGAAGGATGTGGCTATGCTGGGTAACAGTTTTGGTCACGGATATAATTCAGTTCTTAAGCAAATATAAACAAAATGGCCTGTTCTAGGTTAAAGCATGCTTCTTCAAGTGACTGAGCTGATTGTTGCCATTTCATGCCACCTGTGAATGTAGTAGTATGGGTGGCTCTTATAAACAGTCACTACAACCCATGTATTAGATTTTTCCGTCCTTGCAGGACTTCTGGAGAACAAATACTCAGCTTACCCTATTGTGAATGTATAATAAATATGTTACATGAATAGCTTAATTAAATTTTAGCTTTTTTCATGTGGAAAGCCTATATTGGAGTTTATTGGATTCAGCTAACAGTGCAGAATTGGTTGCAAACTTAAACACTTTCAAAATAATCCATGCTTTTGCCTATTCAAAACACCAATCTTACCAATCTTTGTATAATACAGTCTTTTTAAAAATACTAATGTGGGGGTGAGTACTCTGTCTGTCCTCTTGAAACCAACTCTGCCTGCACGGTTACTGTAAAGCTATTGTAACCTTGTACAGCCACTAGAGGGTATAAAAGGACAAAGATATTTGCATATATTTTCTAGATTTTTTGGATGTTTTTTAATATGTCCATTTTGCCTGCTTTACAAATGTAAGTAGGTTGCTGGTGTATGGCAGTATGTTTGCCTAAGATAAGCTACTAGTCTGGCTCTCTAAAGAATGTTTGATTGCTGTCTTTCACCTCACTTGATCTTAACAAATGAAACTCCTAGTGTAGTGCAAATACTTGTAGTGATGCAAGAAAAATAAAAGACAAAAACAAAACACTAGGATCTTGAGGTGAAGGAGGATTGTAGGTCGTTGTATCTTGCCACCTAATGGTAGAAGGCTGTCCTTCATGTTGAATCTATTGTTAAGCTTTATTGTCTTGAGTTTAAAAGAAATGTTTACTTCAGTCTCTTACAAGTTAACAGTCCAGTCAAGTAAACCCTACAGTAATGGTTTTGATTTCCTTTATTCAGCACATGTATTTTTGAACTTGGACAACTTATTCATACAGATATTTGAATTAGTATTAATTTAAGATTCAGCATGTTCTTTTAATTGTATTTAATTATTTATTACTGTTTGTACCTGTATTTTATTTCTAATGGCTTCTTTTAGCTAGACACCATGGTATTTTATTAACTGAGGAAACTTCCCCAATAATTCTAATTCTATGGCTTATTTTTGTTTTGTCTGTTGCATTTTGAGAGGTGACAGTAGACCTTAAATCCCCGTCTTGTCACAAGTGTAGCACTAAACTAAATCTGTATCAGACAGTACAGATTTGTATAGGATAGTATAGGGAAAGCAGAATCATAGAAAATAGAAGAAGCAGCACTTCCCCTACCCAAAAGCAGGACTAAGCGTGCTCAATTGTTCCTGGTAGGTGTTTGAGTAGACATACGTCAGTTAATGATGAAGCTTTTCACAAGCTTTATGGGCAGTCTCTTCTAATGCCTAACACACTATATTGCTTTTTAAGTGTTTTTTTTGTTTGTTTAACTACTCCCTTGCTGCTACCTATATATAGGTATAACTTACCGTATCCATAGAGGAAGTGAAGATGAATATACTCTGTTCTCTGCTGCTCTATTTTTGCTTATAGTGATTTTCTTGACTCCTAATCGTTCTGTTTCTCTCATCTGGACTCTCTCCATCACGTTCCTATATTTCTTGAAGTACAATATTCCAAATGGGATATAGTACCCTAGCTGAAGCCTCAGAGAGGAGAGATCTATTTGTAATTAGTCATAGTGTTCTGTAGAGTGGAAGTGGAGAAACTGGTTTTGTTCTTAATTTTTCTCCAAACCCCAACTCTTTTACTATTTCTTGGCCCTAAGTTTGCCAGTAGACGGTGACTACCCACCTGATCCAGCTCTTGCCAGGTCTATTTCTTGAATGCATTAAGTGGCTGCCTTTATTCTGTTCCTCTTGTTTTAATGACTAGCAGTTCCAGTTCCACTAATTTCCCAGTGTAGCTTCTGTACCTTCTTTATGTGGGGACACCACCCTTCTTTGCTGTTTTTTTGGATTTCTGGGTGCCCCCCCCATAGTTTTCTACTTCCTAGCATCCCAGGAACAGGGGAGTAGTCAGCTCTTGTCTGTCTATGATAACTCTTTGAGGACCACTGTCTCCCTCTGTGGCACAGTCTGGGAATCGGTGTGATCATCCTTGTTATAAGTGGTAGAAATTTTTCCCTGTGCACGTTCTTAAATAATAGATGAGACTGCAAACATGTTCAATTAGATAAGCTATTAGGTGAGCAGATAAATGGTTAGCAGCTTGTGTTGCTTGTAGAATTTGCAGAGGACAAAGCTCCAAAGCTAAGTGAAACTAAGGTTTCCTTAGTTAGGAGTGAAATGATAACTGATACATTGTCATGTCACCTCTTGGCATGTTGAGCAAATACCATTTTTACTCGTTAATTCCTGAAGAATTACTGCTAAGGTATTAACAGAAGCGATGTCTGTTAATTCTCCCCACAACATAGTCTTGAAGGTACTGATCTCACAGTAAAATGGAGACGAGAAAAAAAGCTTATCCAGCAATTCTGCAAACTCCTCCTGGACTCTAAAGCAGCTTCTCTTCATCCATTGCTGCTGTTCACAGTCATTATGCAGATCAAATCCAGGTTTTAGTTGTACAAGCTTTTGTCTTACGCTGTTCTCGGCTATTCTGAAGTCTTCGTTACTCTGCAGGGATGTTGTACAAAGGTTACCCAAGGTATTATGTAGCCTACAGCATCTTTGTACTTTGAGATGAGGCAGAAAGGGGAAAAATACCTTTAACTCTGCGTTTTGCATGCTAATTGTGATTCTATTATATAAAAGGCCATGTGCAGATAAAAATATGTTGTCAGCCTTATTTTGTGTTGGATCATTCAGAGAACAAAAATGTTTGCTAAGAGAACGTGGTAGAAGTGTTTGTTCTTATTTTCAGAGACCACACTTCAGCTTTTCCGACATCATACTTAATATGCTCCCAAAATAAACTAAACATCAAAAGATTCTATGTAATTTTCTTGTTCCTGCTTTGCACATGCTGCAATAGCCATAATAACATGAAACGTCAGGTACATCTCACCATATTTTATCATTAGAAAACTTCAACTCTGTCCATCTAGAGAGACAAAAGCTGATTTTTAGAGGTGCAGTTGTTCCATCCTAAAATAGATGGCTAAGAGAGATTGAATGAACCACATTGTTGACTAAAAAGAGTGCTGAAATAAGTGTGTTAGATGTTTACCATTAAGCCTGTCAGACTACATCTGTGTTACTACATTCAATAGTGCCAGGAAACTTCCTGGGGCACTGTAGCTCAGTCATCTGTACTGTTAATTGGTAGAACAGTTGCTGGCACAGATTTTGGCCTGTGCATAATTCATGAGTTAGCAAGGTACCTTTTCTGGTAGGCACTTGGGACGTGACCAGCCTGTTCTGGAGCTTAAGAGAGTTTAATAACACAGACACAAACCAGTCAACTTTGCCAGTTGGCTTCTGTGCCAGAGAACAGTCCTTGGGATGTTTGTTAGTAGATATGCAGTCCCAGTTTCAGGTGAGATTCGATTCCTTGTATCCTCACTGAGCAAAATTAAACTTTGTCAGGAAAAAAAAAATCCAACCCCTTCTAACCTTAGGAGCAATCTCACAACTTTTTTTTTAAACAGTTCTCCAGCTTTCCTTCCATGTAAATGTCTCACATGTACTATACTCGCTCTAAATGCCTAGCGACAGCTAGATTCTGCAATGCTTTTTAACGTTAAGGATGCAGTTTACAGATGGTGAGGAAATAATTGTTTATACATCTCAATTCACTCATACTTTTCCTTATTAAATGTAGATGCTGAATTTTAATAAGATTTAGGAAGAAGTGCAGTAGTCTCAGTTTTCTTGCTCTGCATCTTCTCATGGAACAATTGCACGTGAAAATTGTGTATATATATAGGTATATCAATCGGATTGGATGAAACTATTGTTAAATATCATTGCTATTATTTGAGTAGTAAGGGGACATGGAGGGCTTTATCATTGAAAAATGAAAAATAAAGAGGTTAGAGTTAGATATTCCAGCTGCAAAAATAAGTATGTGAAGTTAAAGTAGACAAAAATGTTTTTCCCTCAAAGGTGGCTTGGTAACAGAGCTAATAATGCTGGTGACTCTTGGAAATTAAAATGCATTAAGAGCTCTCCAGCCCTGAAACAGAAAACCTCAAAGAAGGGAAGGATTCCAAGCAGAAAACTACACGGTAAATATTGGCAGCACAGAAAAGTCTAGGCAGGGCTTTATTTAACTTTTTCGTATAAATACTGCAAATTGAAAGAAAAGGAAATTT